AATAACGGTAAATGCAACTTTGTTTGTTGTTTCATAAGATGGAAGAAGGGAGTCACAAATGCGAATTTCTCTTATTTTCTAACTTCGCACTATGCAGATTTTGAGTTTGACGTCGAAGACGACGCTTTAAGGCCTGGATTCTAAGGACAGGTCGGCGTTACAAAACGTCATCTTGAAGCGAGCTCTCACCCCTGATTGGTCAATTTGTGAGTTAGACAGCATACGTCATCGAAAGCTAAGCTTGAACGATGACTGACGTCCGAATCAACTGTAGTTGGATTACAACGTAACGTTAATGACAGAAGCAATAGCGAACATCATCCAACAGAGCATTGAAATCGGTCAAGATTTTGATTTTAACAATAAACATAGCTTCTTCTTCCTCTTCTTAATTTAGGTAAGCCATAATGTGTTTTTTCGTAGACAAAGTGATTATTTGTTCTCTAAAGCACTGATCAACAATAACAAAATCAGTACAAATTCAAAATAAATATTTGTTTACATTATTAACGCATGCGCAATGTGAGATAATGTCGGCGTTGAACCGATTGCTCACGCTGAGCTAGCAAAACAGTATTTTGTTGGTACGACAACCTCCCGCTGACGCAAAAAGAAGTCGCTTGTCTTAAGAAACCAGGCCTTTTAAGTGGCAGCGAATTTGATTTGGCTTTCAACTTAATGGAAAAGAATGATCGACATTCAGTAAGCACATTGTTTTGATGAACGCGATATCTCAACGAAATCATTCAACAGTATCAGAAGCTTGGAGAATAGTTGACCGATTAGAGGGGGCCCAAACAGAAGCCGAAGTAGCAGAAGTCATTAGAGTTTCACAAAGTGTGATTTCTAGATTTTGAAACCATTTTTTGGAGACTAGAAATGCAGACCGAAGATCAGGGCATGAGCTTAGACGTGCAACAACACCCAATGAAGACCGTGAATGCTGCTCTTCCTCAACAACACCTTCACTCTTCTACTGGCTCCACAGTTTCGACACAAACTCTCCGATACTGTCTTCATGCTGTAGATTTGTATGCTCGCTGACCAATGGTGTGTGTCACGTTAACAGCAAAACACAGTCGCGCTAGCAGGAAGTGAACATCAGAGCATGTTAACTGGAGAAGAAATAAACGGCACAATATTCTTTTCTCTGACGAGTCCCGTTTTTCTGTTCATCCTGATAATCGGTGAATTTTCTTCCGGAGGGAACGTGGCTCTAGAAACAATCCTACGTTTTTTTGGAGGAAAACGTAAGATTTGGTGGTTGGGGAGTGATGGTCTATGCTGGCATCTCCATTGATGGGAGCAGCGATCTCCATAGCATTTGAAATGATCGAGCCGATCTGGGGATGAGATCTTAAGATCTATTGTAGTCCCTTACACACGATGAATTGGACTTCATGTTAATGAACGAGAATTGCAGGCCACATCTTGCTAACTTGGTGAATTATTTCATTTTGGACGAAGAAATCATACAAATGGATTGGCCAGCGGAATCTCCGGACATGAACCCAATCGATCATGTTTGGGACATTCTAGTCAAATTGCTGGACGCCTACCAACCCCACAAACTATCCAAGAACTGGAAAGAACTCTTTTGGAGGAGTGGGACGGAATACCCTTGCCCCTCATTAATAACCTCATTGTCTCGGTGTCTCAAAATTGTTCGACGTTGCTGGCCGTTCAGAAAACCATACCCTCTACTAAAAAAAATTTTCGTTTAAGGAATCTCATATGCACAAATTGTGTTTTTCCCCTTTTGTACGCTAATGCTCACTAAAAAGCATTTTCTCTGTCAATCAAATGTCATTTTCATCTCATATATTCTACCACGTTTGTCGATAATGTATCTATCATTCAAACAATTCTCCAGGTTCAAGATCAATTTACAAGTTCAATATCCTTGTTTTGAACAGTGTATTACCAAACATCTTGTGGGGTCAGGCTAACAACAATGTCAACTATCATCTATCAAATGGCATCTCGAGATAACATCGAGTTAACATCGCTTATATACTAGTGATATGAAACTTGATACTTGTAGTAATAGCAACTCTACATTACCATCCCCCTCTAGAATTTTATCTGTGATAGAAATCGATGAATGGATACCATTAGTTGCTTTACTGCTTTTTTGCGAGAGGCCGGGAGAGCTGTATTAAGATCACCTGACTTTGAGTGCTGGTCGTGAGAGCTGTATTAAGATCCCAGATGTAGGCACGGTTACTTCTGTGTCGCAATGAGCAGTTGAGTGTATACAGACCCCCATTATGTGTGATCAAGTCTGGGTAGAAACAGCGTGAGGAGGACAATGTCGCAGTCACAAATAGCAAGTCAATGAACTATTCACTGTGAACCATCCATCGAACTAGGTGTACTCAAAACGAAGTGGGTGTTTCAGTTGAGGTAGGCATGCTGGTCGATTCCGGCGCGTTCAGATCACGTCAGCGAATCACCCATGTGGGGCTAAGCTACCCACAGTGTCAACCGTCAGAGCCATGGTGGCTCAGGAGAGAGACCTTCCATTGAGATGAACCGGGTTCGAATCCCAGGGATAGCTGGTCGATATGAATTCAACACCCGGGTTGCACCGATCAAAGTGCTGACGGAAAATATCCGCAGTGGTAGACGGATCATGGGTTAGAGTCCCCTTTCCGTCTGGCTAACCGCAGGAGGTTCTCGTTATCTCCCTCTCCATGTAACTCAAATGCTGGTTAGCTCCATAAAAAAGGTTTCGATGAAAGAGCAAATTACTCTTAGTACTTGAACTAGGAGTTCCCTTGTCTTCTAGATTGGGTTTAAAATTACAAGGCTACGGAGTTAAACATCGGTAGTCGTAAACTTAAAAAATTAGGGTCAGCTGTGTTCAACGAGGGTTATAAAATAAAATTAATAAACCAATTTGAAAATTTTATATACACTTGGAGCAAAAACAATTTCTGGGTAATATTATTTTGAATTTTTGTTGAGTAGTTTGAAAAATTTGTTTTATAATTGTTTTAACAACTTGAACTAAGAATTCCCTTATCTTCTAGATGGGATTTACGATTACATTAGTGTCGTGAGAACAATTAGAACATTACAGGTCGTAAACCCAAAATTAGGTCGGCTGCTCAACTACGGTTATTAAATAAAATCCCATAACTTTAAGAACAATAACTTCCCTATTTCAATCGTATTTAGGTCCGTGTCTCAGTCCTATCTTCGATAACATGCCTTTAGCGCTAATTTTCCGTAGAACTATGTACAACCGCGTATTGACCGCTCTGTCCTGACATTCTCTGTTACAGAGCAGTTTGTTGCCTTGGACAACAGGTTCTCTTCATTTCTTAACAATGTGTGGTCTGAGAATTCGAATAATAAGATGCCACTTTGACATTCTAATAATAATATGCCATTTTGATAATGAGATGCCATAATGCCATTCTGATAATAAGTGTATGAATGCTGATCTCATGGTCTAACGTTGCAATTCTTTGCACTAATTTCTTTGGAGCAATACTGCCTTAATTTCTTAAAAAAATTAATTCGCAATTGTTTTTTACGATTTAAGTATCTATTAAATATCTCTCATTTATTCGCATATTTTCCTGGTTCTGCAATTTTAACGGTCAGTAGTGCATATACTTTAAAAATAATATCAAGTTTTGACCTCAAATATATTAAAATATTAGCGTTTTTCGCTTTTTTGTTTTAATTACTGTTTTTTAACGTTTGTCAGACTCTTGTGAATCCTGTTATAGGTAATATGGATACGGAGACAACATTTTGACACATCTTAGGATTATAATAGTCTATAAGTTTTATGAGGTGAAGGCAAGATAGGTAGAACTCCTACTCAGCCCAGGGGGGTATATGGAGATAAAAAGTTAAATTATTGCATTAAATATTGAAGCTAAAAACTTAAAATTCAGCAAAATTTTGCCAAATCACAGTGGTGATGAACAGTTAAAAGTGAATTAACTAAAAATTAAGGTAATTAAAAGCAATGAAAGCTAAAAGCACCGGTGTAACTGTCAAAAATATCAGGTGAAGGCAAATGTTTCATGATGCTGATATTAATTTCATTGGAATAGCTTTCCCTTTATAAATTCAAGCATTCAAGCGCATATCTATAAATATATTTCTCTTTCACGGCACCAAAAAAAGCCTCATTACAGCTCCCCGAATGGCAACGTTAGAAAATCGACCAATGATTGCTGCTAAAAATGTCACATGCCAAATCTCATACCATGGCTCAACATATAGCGCTTTTAAAAACGGAAACAATAACCAGAGTGAGCATTATCAGGTTGTTCAAATCAGATTCATGCCCTAAAAACATGATAATATTTAATTTTAACTGGCTCAACATATAGAGCTTTTAAAAACGGAAACAATAACCAGAGTGGACATTATCAGGTTGTTCAATCCAGATTCATGCCCTAAAAACATGATAATATTTAATTTAAACTCAATTAGGAATTAATTAATTAATTGAAGTGAGAATGCTTTAAAAGGCCGCTGTTGAATTGATATTTTTCTACTGGGAGCTACCTAAACGTCTAAAAAATGCCTAAGTGTTTGTATTGAATGTATTGAATTTTTTTATATTTCGCCTTTATTTATGCATTGAATTTTCACGCTTTAAAATGCNGTTTTGCTTCAATATCATCAACTGGACAGTCCCTGGCCATATCATCTGCTGCTGTTACCAAAAATGCTTTTAACAATTTAATCTTTCCTTAGGTTTACAACTTTTTCGTCATAGTGACTCCCTATACCCAATTAATTTTTATTTACTATCCTTGACCAAGTGTCAATTTGTACATAACAATTATTAATTTTACCATTTTTAATCATGTCTTAAGCATATTTTGTATTTACCAATGTTTCTATATTACGTTCACTTTTCTAACTGTGCATAACACAACACAACATAAATTTTCTGAGTTTTATATCCCTCACTAGTAGGGGATCAACTAATTTAGCCTGTTTTCTATTCTTAGCTTTTCATAGTAATGGAACAATTAGATGGTCTATTGAGGCAAATTAACCCTTTTGCTGCATCATATCTTCAGATGCATCAGTTTATTCAATTAAACCCTGCAACAGATGTAAAATTAGTTTTTATGGAAGATCCCTCTTCAGATTTGAGACGGTATAATGCTCCCACATCAAAGACAGAAGTTGCTGCCATATTCGTTGGAGACAATGGGGAACCTCCATCTAATCGAGATTTGTGCATCTGTCCTGTTGCAGACTCTTACAAAATTATTTCTCCTATGAATCCATGCATTGATCCAATGGTCTATCCACTTCTCTTTCCACAAGGAGATTGTGGTTGGCATGCTGAAATGGAGAGTGGATGTACAAGAGCGGCGTACTGCCAAGCGTATCCGTGTAACCCAATTACAGTATTATGCTTACAGACTTGCTATCCGCAGTGAGTTCAGCCTTCTTCATAGCAGTGGAAAGCTCTTTCAGCAGTTCATCGTTGATGTTTATGTCAGAACAGAAGGTTCAAGATTGAACTATTTAAGATTGAACTATTTAAGATTGAACCAGAAAGATTTACGTGTTGAGTTATATCAAGGTCTTTTGGACGCTCTTCAAAGTGAAGCTCACTCAAACAATGTAAAGTTAGGGAAGTTGATCATTTTGCCATCACCTTTCAAGGATCTCCTCGCTCCATGCAACAAAATTATCAAGATGCCATGGCAATTGTTAGAAAATTTGGGAGACCAGATATTTTTCTAACTTTTACATGCAATCCAGCATGACCAGAAATAGTGAGTGCTCTACAAAGACACCATCGTCCTGAAAATAGAACCGATATCATTGTTCATGTCCTTAAATTGGAATTGACGGAACTTTTGGATGATATTTTGAAACGTCATGTATTTGGTAAGGATATTTCATTTATTTATGTTATTGAATTCCAAAAACGTGGTTTACTACATTCCCATATGCTGTTGACATTGGATTCTGCTGCTAAAATTCGAACTAAAGATGATATCGACAAATTTGTGAGTGCAAAACTGCCCAATAAAACTCTTAACCCTAGACTTTATGATATTATTACAAAATATATGATTTATGGTCCCTGTGGCATACTTAATCCAAATTCTCCTTGCATGAAGGAGGGTTTGTGTTCTAAAAATTTTCCGAAAGATTTTCAAGAGACGACTCAAGAAAATGTGAACGGTTATCAGTTTACCAGAGAAGTATTACAGAACTTATCAAGGTAGGTAAATATGATATTGATAATCTTTGGGTTGTGCCTTATAACCCTTGGTTATCTAAGAAATTTAATGCTCACATCAATGTTGAGATTTGTGCTTCGGTCAAAAGTGTGAAATATCTTTACAAGTATGTTTACAAAGGCCATGATGCTGTATCTATTAAATTGCAGCTAAACGATGATGTAAATCACGATGAGATTATGACATTTCTAGAAGGACGCTATGTCAGTGCTCCTGAGGCAATGTGGCGGCTAAATGAATTTCATACGTCTGAAAAATCCCACACTGCTATGAGGTTAGCTGTTCACTTACCAAATCAACAACAAGTAATTTATCAGAGTGGTCATGAAGTTGAAGCTGTTGCTCGAGCCTCCGCCAGATATACGACTTTAACAGCATGGTTTCAATTAAACCAAACTGATGTTGATGCCTGCAGATATTATTATTCTGATATGCCTCATTATTATGTTTTTGATCGTAGTAATAATCGGCGGAAAAGACGTCAAAGGGGTGGGGATCAAATAATAGGCAGGATGCCCGTTGTCAGCATTCAAGATAGCAAACGTTATTTTTTGCGAATGTTGCTGCTGCGGAAACCTGGTGCCATTAGTTTTGAAGATTTAAAAACATCTAATGGAAATGTCTGTATCAGTTTTCAGCAAGCATGTAGGGAGCTTGGCTTTCTTGAAGGAGATGAGCATTGGCATGATACTTTGCGTGAGGCTTCACTAATTCGAATGCCACAACATTTGCGAATGCTTTTTGCGGTTATTTGCGGATTTGGTGAAGTAGAAGATATTCCTGCTCTTTGGACACAGCATAGAGATCTCCTTTGTAAAGATTTTGCGCACCAGCACTCGGAGGAAACAGCATATCAGTATGCTCTTGCTGAAATAAATGATCTATTGCTAGTTTATGGGTTACATCTGAAGAGAGTAAGACTTCCAGAGGTTAACTTGCCTCATATTAGCCAACTTTTACCAGCCTATGATGTGGTAGAAGAGCAGACAAAAGGTCAACTTAACTATGGAAAGCTAAATATTCAACAACGTGCTGCTGTTGATAAAGTTGTGAGTGCCATTTATAAGAATGAAGTTGAAAAACTTTTTTTTTTAGATGGGCCTGCCGGCACTGGAAAAACTTTTATCTATTCAACTTTGTTGCACTTAATCTGTGGAAAAAGTCATACAGTGACTCTTGTAGCATCAACTGGAATCGCGGCTGCTCTTTTGAAAGGCGGAAGAACTGCTCATTCCATATTTAAAATACCAATTATTTTAAACGCTACTTCTACATGCAATTTAAAACCTACTTCTCCAGAAGCTATTCCATTATTTAATTCTAAATTAATTTTATGGGATGAAGCTCCGATGACGCATGTGCATGCATTTTTAGCTGTAGATAGATTTTTGCAGGACATAATGAGCTGCTCACATCCTTTTGGTGGGAAAATTGTGTTGATGGGAGGAGACTTTCGACAAGCTTTGCCTGTCATTCCTAAAGGTTCCCGTTCGCTGACAATTGATGTTGGGTTGACTTAAAAAACGTCCCCTTTGGACTAAATTCAACTTCTTATACCTTAATCAAAATATGCGGGCACTTTCAACTGAAAAGGCGTTTGCTGAATGGTTATTGGATGTTGGAAACTGCAAAGATGGTGAAATGATTAAGTTGCCTGGTATTTTTTATCCATCTAACCAAGACCCCATTAAGCAACTATATTCTGATGCAGATTTTAACACTGTAACTCCGTGCCAACTCAAAGGTAGGGCAATTTTAACAGTCGCCAACGATTTATCAATACTATTCAATAATGATGTGCAGGAACTACTGCCAGGAATTACTAAAATTTATGAAAGTGTGGACACTGTCATTAGTGATGATCCACAAGATCAACTAAGCTACCCTGAGGAATTTTTGAACACCATCACTCCTACAGGAATGCCTCCCCACAAATTAAAGATTAAGAAAGGTGACATAATAATGTTACTGAGAAATTTAATGCCATCTAAA